TTCTTTTTCTTTTTCTTTTTCTTTTTCTTTTTCTTTTTCTTTTTTTGGAGAGTTTTTTTTTTTTTTTTAATTGGGTGTGTGCACTTGCCAGACAGACAGAGAGAGACAGAGAGAAAGTGAGAAATCACCCCCCAGGGGGGATGGCCACGCTGCAATCCCTTCTCCTCCATTCTCCTCTCGGGATCTTGGGCACGCACGCACATGCGTCCGGCTTAAGTTAAAGCCACTGGGGTCGGGATGTGAACCACGGTCGACTACGTGGGAGTCCAGAAACAGCCATTACGCTAACTGCTGTTCCCATTCTACTAGTTTTCTTCATATTTTCTGACTTCTGCCTTTACTTATATGTTTCTTCCTGAAATATTAGATTTATTGAAGCTTTATTTAGTCTCTATAATAATCTAAGTACCCGTAGTATTAAGGAATTAGGAATAGGAATAGGACCCAAGGCAGAGCGGAGAGAAGAATGCCAGTAGCCCAGTCTACGTTTCTCATACAAATTTCTCAAAAGTAGGAAGTAATTTAGCAACTGAAGATCAAAATATATACAACTGAAGATAAAGGTGAATACAGAGATTAAACAAGATTTTGTAGATTTTGCTTGATAAAGATTGCATTTCTTTTAAATTTTGATTTAACATATTATTTCCTTTTTTAAAAGAATTATCTTGGGACCAGCAGTTAGAGTAATGGCTATGTCGCTGGACTCCCATGTAGTCGACTGCAGTTTGAGTCCCGGACCTGGCGGCTTAAACTCACACCAGGCATGTGTGCATGCGTGCCCAAGATCCTGAGAGAACGGAGGAGAAGGGATTGTGGCATAGCCATCCCCCCTGGGGGGTAATTTCTTGCTTTCTATCTCTCTGTCTCTCTCTGTCTTTCAGGCGAGCTCATGCGCCCTATAGCAAAAACCTCTCAAAAAATTATCTTATTTTATTTATTTTAATTTGATCAGAGAGTACAAGAAAGAAAGAGAAAGAGAGAAAGCGGGAAATTGAGGAAGCAAGCCATCAGGTCCGGGACTCGAATGATGTGCAAGTCTAGTGCCCTTAGCCACCATGCCACCTGCCAGCCCTGATATATTATGTCTTTAAACATTTTTAACTGTGTTACGTAACGTTAATTGTCTAAAAGCGACATTATGGGGCCAGCAGGTGAGGTAATTCAGGCTCTAGATTCCCATGGCTGTCTGCAATTTGATACTGGACCTGGTGGTTTGCTTTCTTCTTTCCCTCTTTTTCTGTCTCTCTCTGGTGAGCACACATGCCCTATAGAGCAAGTTGCAAAATAATAATGATAAATGAAATCGAATGGATGATTCTTAAAATAAAAAAAAGCTTACTATGTTATGTGAAGCTTCAGAGCTCACCAGCAAAAAATACTAATAATCCAATTAAAAATGAATATTAATCTGAGCATATAATTGTTGAAAGAAGACATACTAATGACCAAAATGATATAGTAATTTTTAACATTATTAGTTATAATTGAAATGCAGATCAAAATCACACTGAGATATTCCCACTCCTATTTGATAATAGCTTATCAAAAAAAGAATAACAAGTCTGTTGAAGCTGTGGAGAAAGAGGAATCTTTGTGCACCATTGGTAGGAAAGTAAATAAGTCCAGCAATTATGGAAAACAATATGCACTTTTCTCAAAAATCTAGAAATAGAACTATGTTATGATCTAACAATCCTCCTATTGGGTTTATATCCAAAGGATAGGAAGTCAATGTGTTGAAGAGATATTTGGAATTCCAAGTTTACTGCAGCATTATTCACAATAGCTAAGATACAAAATCAACCTATGAGCCCAATAACTGATGAAGCAGATAAAGAGAATCTAGTTTCCATACTAATGGAATATACTCAGTCTTGAAAAGGGTGAATTTCTGTTTTGAGGCAAATGGATGAACTTGGAAGAAATATTGCCAAGTGAAATGAGCCTGGCTCTGAGAGACAAATACTATGTGTCCTCCCATTACAAATACCATGTCTCTCACTCTTTATTAAGACTTGATTGCATAGAGGAGAGTGAATACTAGTGGCTCAAAAGTGCCGGAGGAGAGTTCAGTATAAGGGAGAATTAATTAGATACTAGAGTGAATGTAAACAAGCAAAATGGGATATAGCCTAGTAGAGCTCAATAAAGACTACTGGGAACAGGGACAACAGGTGTCATGGAGGTGAAAGCGCGGGTCCCACGTGGCTGACTGCATGGCTCAATCCTGGACCTGCAGCTTGAAAATCACTATTGGTGCATGTGTGTGTGCATGCCCAAAATACTGAGAGGAGATTGAAGAAGGGATTGCAAAACAGCCATACACCCTGGGGGTGAGAGTGATTTCTCACTTTCCCTGTTTGTCTGTCTGGCACACAACCTATAGCTAAACTAAAAGCAAACAAACAATAAAAACATTGGTGAAAATTTAATATATATTTCAAATAACCAGTCAATCAGACTGCTTTTTAGTTTAGTTTCTCAACTGAGAATTTCTCAAAGAACACACTCATTTTAAAATTTTTAATGATAATTTTAATTGAAATATAAATGTACTAATCCATGGGGTTCAGTCTGATTTTCATTAAGTGTGTCATGATCAAAACAGGGCAGTCAACATCCACTATCTCAAATATTTATGATTATTTTTGTGTTGTGAACATTTAAAGTTCTGTCTTCTATCTACTTTGAAATATATACCAACTTGTCTATTATTTAGTTGTTTCACTGTGCTGTCATACTCTGGAACTTATTCCACTACATGCTAACCATGTTTTCTGTATCCTCCCTACTACTCTCCCTTCCCATTTTCTCTCATAGTATCCCTACTTTCACTCTACACTTCTGCAACATCAAATCGATCAAACAAAAAATTTGTAATTAAATATCCAAACCTGGGATATGGTAGAACTACTGGCTATTCTAAGGAGAAATACTTTCCCGTACCCAGGTAGAGGAGGCAAGTCTCCTTGCCATCTCCCTTTGTGAGTGAGTTACAGATTTTATACTCTCCTCTGAGCATCTTGTTCCAGTCCAGTGTTTTCTGGTTTTATGGATAAGCTTGGATCCTATCTTTATGCAGTCTGCATTCTACTTAAATAAGCCTTTGGTTACGATGATTTACAGATTCCCAGTGTAGGCTTATACTCTAGTTTGAGTTTTTTTTTCCATTTATCCCTATAGCTCCATTGCTATGTTTGGTTTTATTTTTCTGAAAGTCAGCTGCATATATCTGACAACAAGGGACATAGTTTGGAGAGTATTCACAGTACTTACTCAGCATATTATTAGAAATATGCTTCTCAATTTTTATTAAAACAGAATTTTATTTATCTTCTAAAATCTTAGATTTTTGTGCTATATTATTTTAAATTCATCAACTTATTTGTTTATATATAATTATTTTCATTGTCACAATAATTGTACATGTTTATTGGAAATAGGGTGGGATTTAGCATATGAATACAGAGTGTTACGAATAAATCAGGATAATTTGCATATCCGTCATCTCAAAATTTGTCATTACTTATTGGGAACATTAAAACTACTCTATTTTAGGGGAACCAGCAGTTAGCGTAATGGCTATGTCGCTGGACTCCCATGTAGTTGACCGGGGTTCGCGTCCTGGACCCGGTGGCTTAAAACTCACGCTGGGTGCATATGCGTGCGTGCCCAAGATCCCAAGAGGAGAATGGAGGAGAAGGGATTGCGGCGTGGCCATCCCCCCTGGGGGGTGATTTCTTGCTTTCTGTCTCTATGTCTCTCTCTGTCTGTCTGGTGAGTGCATGTGCCCTGTAGTGAAAACCTCTCAAAACAAACAAACAAACAAACAAAAAACCTACTCTATTTTAGTTATCTTGGAATAAATAATAAATTATTGTTAGCTATAGTTGCCCTAAAATTTATAGTTAGCTATAGTATTGTATGTTACTGAATGCTGAAATTTATTCCTCCTAATTATAATTTTTCATCTGTTAAAAATACAAACTTTGGGGCCAGGAGGTGGCATGATGGTTAGGGGTGCTGGACATCCACATGGCCACGGACCATGGTTCAAATCACAGACCTGATGGCTAGCTTTCTCACTTTCCCTATCTCTCTCTCACTCTGTCCCTCTCTGGTCAAATTTAAATAAATAAAGTTGGATAAAATAATTTAAAATATTAAATTTGCAAGCATCTTTTCTATGTTATTGTCATTTTCCTTGATTCCTTAATTTAGCATGTAAAAATCTATACAGATTCACTTTTCTCTGTGTAACGCACCTTTCCCTGTGTGCCTCTTTTCATGGAAATATTTCAGAAGGTTGTTAGAATATGCTTTTTTATTGTCGTCATGATCATGTAGGATTTACTCTTTTAAACAAGGTTCTAACTATTGGGCAAATATCTTCTTTAGCTTTTAGCTATTGCCAAATCTGGTAGTGCATTTGGCCTATCTTGGGAATAAAAAAAAAAAAGTAAAAACAAAAACAGGTGTGTGACAGGCTGGCCCTCTAGCCTAGTTTAAGGGAGCTGGATTCCACATGGCTAATGGGTTCGAATACTAACCCTGGTGGTTTAGAAAACACACTGGGTACATGTGTGTCCGTGTGTCCTAAATCCTGACAGGATAGAGAAATGAAGGTGAAAGGATTGTAGCATGACCCCATCCTATTAGAAGGGGCTTCTCCTTTTCTCTGTGTCTCTTTTGGTGAGCCCATCAGCACTCTGACAATAAAAAAAAGGACAAAACAGATATCTAAGTATGAATTTGGTCATTTACTTGACTAAAACAGTTTAATGAACGCTCTATTTGTTATAGTTGTTAAATGTATAGTAATGTAAGACACAACAATGTTGAATTGTATATTATAAAATTTTAATTTTTATTTATGGGCAATAAGATATTAGGATGAAATAATTACTTTTTGGACCATGTGATTTAGACATCATGTATTAAAATCTTGGAATTCATGTTTAAAATCATAATTAATTATTACTTAAATTTTTTTTCAGCTCTTCTTCAAGTGACAATTTCACTTAGCAAAGTAGAGCTTAGTGTGGGTGAATCTAAATTCTTCACATGTACAGGTATGTATATCTATAAATATTTTCAGATATCTTGTTTCAAGTTCAATCACCAAGAAAATACATTGGTTAATTTAAGTAGTTAAAAGCTCAACTCTCTGAATTTGGGATATTATCATTAAATTTATAATGAGTAAAAAAAGTGTTAAAAAACACATTTTTCATATTAGACATGGGTTTTATTTCTGCTAATTCATATTATTAAGTTCAATCGTGAAACCTAATCATTATAACTGATCAAACATAATATGTACATAATAACTTAAATCAATTTAAATTTTATTCCTGTCTAAATAGTAATATTAGGATGAATGTAAAGATTATAACTAAATCATCTGTGTAAATACTAGTGAATAAATTAAACATGGCCCACTGTGTTAGAGTTGCAGTTGAGTTAAAATTTTAGGACAAAAAAATTCATCCTTTTGAAAAGTGAATACTAATTCAAAATAGACCATTACTTAATCAAGAAAGCTTTTGCATCATTTTTGTAACTTATTAATAAAAATATCATATATCACAAATTGATAAACGTCTCATTCATTTTAATCATACTCATGTAAAGTTATTTTAGAACTTTAAATGCTTGTGTATGAATTCAATTTCAACATATTGTAAAACTCAGAAGTGAATACATTCCACATCTACTTAGATTCTTCATATTCATTTTTATGCAATGAAGCCTTCATAAAGTTTTTTTTTAATATTCACTTTATGTCAAAATAACTTTTGAAAATATTTTAGAATTGTTTCCACTTTTGATTATTGTAAAACAATTCAAAACTATTAAAATAGGTATTTATTGTTTTGAGTAAAGCTGTTTTGAGAAAGACGTGGCTTACATAAAATAGCAAAATTATTTACAATAGAGACCAGTGGTTGGTGTAATGGCTATGTCACTGGATTCCCATGTAGCTGAACACGTTTTGAGTCCCTGACCCAGTGGTTTAAACTCAGGCTGGGCGTGTGTGTGTGCGTGCGTGCATGCGTGCCCAAGATCCCAAGAGGAGAATGGAGGAGAAGGGATTGTGGTGTGCCCATTCTCCCATGGGGGATGATTTCTTGCTTTCTGTCTCTCTGTCTCTTTCTGTCTTTCTGGCGAGCACACATGCAGTATAGCAAAAACCTCAAAAAAATTATTTACAATAGAAATATAATATAATAACATATTTATAAATAATATTTAGAATAAATATGTATAAAGTATCCCCTCTTAATGAATTTTCAATGAAGACTTCAGAAGGGTCCTAATTGATAGGTCTGTTATTACATGCTTTGATATATTGACAAAAGAGAGTGATGACTACTTTATGAAAAGCCCAAATAAACTCTCCTCCTGATAATGAACTTTCCTATCCCATTAAGGAGAAAAAATGTCCAAAAGATTAATCAGAATATGCCATTTAATACTTTATAAAATAGATTTGGCATTGTTCAAATTTAAATTAATGTTCATTTATATTATTCTTTTGTAATTTCTTTTAAGGAAGGAGGCACTAAGCACCCACTCCCCAAAATCATTATTCTGCAACTGCTAAATTTTATTGTTCTGTTCAAAATACTGAGGTTAGCATAACTAAGATCCATTTAAGATTTCACTAAACTTTCTTTTATACTTTTGCTCAGGCTTGTCTAATTTGTTGTAGAAAGGAGGATAATTTGTTTCCAAAACCATTTCTTAAAAGAAGAAAAAAATTAAAAGGAACAATTTTCTTCAAAGCGGTCTTACAGATGTTAGTTAACTTTATGCATTTTCCCCTGATACATTTGAGTTAATAGCATAGGCGCCTCCACAAATGATCGCTCAAGTAATTAGGTGAAATACACCCTTTTGGTGACTAAAAGCAAGCATAGGAAGCTTCAGCTTTTACGAAGAGGATAATAAACTAGATTCTGAATTGGAAAACTTAAATAAATGTTTACCATGTAATGATTGGGTTGTAATTGCCTAGCAGGGTAAGTACCATTTTCCATGTATTCTAATTATCATATTATTAAATAGTTAACAGCTTTAGATTAAGATGATGAAACTACTCATTTCAGGTAAGAAAGACAAGCTTAGAACTTCGTTTTTAAAATGGCCATTGACCTTACCTCTCCAAGTTTAACAACTTAGGAAATAAACGAAACATCTCATAGTACCGAAGACTGAAGTTTATTTTGTAAAAAATTGTTGTAAGCTCTGTTTTATCAAGGGAGAAAATAAAAAGGGCTATCTCCTGAATCTAGAAAGAACTATTGAACATGTGAAATCATGTTAATAATCATGCTTCTGTTCAGATACACCTATTGAATAGGATTTATATCTGGCTCCATGGCTAAGACAATTATAGTGTTAATGTAATAATACTATATTGAATATTAAGCCACAGTTTCTACTATCCCAGTTTAAATACTATTTGGGAAGATTTTTAGGAAGCTTTTGGAATTTGCTTACTTGAGCAGGATTAAATTTTCAATGTTGGGTAAACAAAGATGAACATTTGTGCTAACATTTGTGTTTACTTTCAATTTTGTAAGATTTTTCAGATTTCCAGTCCTCCATATTTTTTCTAAATTGTTAAAATTAGAACATAATTGTAAGTCTCAGTGCCAAAACAAACATTTGAAACATGTTTTTAAACATTCCTTTTCTATGGATTTTTGCAGCAATTGGTGAACCTGAGAGTGTAGATTGGTATAATCCTCAAGGAGAGAAGATCATTTCAACACAGAGGGTAATGGTGCAGAAGGAAGGTGTCAGGTCAAGATTAACCATCTACAATGCAAATATAGAAGATGCAGGGATATATCGTTGCCAGGCAACAGATGCCAAAGGACAAACACAGGAAGCTACAGTAGTTTTGGAAATTTACCGTAAGTCATGATTTTACAAGTTTTGTTGATTGAAATTGTAGCTTTTTATAAATCATTCAAACAAAATGAAGTCTGTTTAAAGGTAAAAGCTGGCACTCATTAAAACATGCTATGCAATGTTCGAAGACATTCCTGGATATCAGCCTATTAATGTTTTGCCACAGTGAGCCTTAGCATAGATATTAGGTAATAGGTCATTATAAAAATTTAGACTGAGCTCATTATGTGATTAAATCATTTAAGTAAAAATATTTCATTTCTCATGCTTCTAAGAAGAATATGTTGGGTCGAGAGAAAATAATGGTTTACTTATTGATGTGAAATACTCTTGGGGTAATTTTTTACTCTAAGAAAAGTATGCTTATGAAAATGAAATTGCTTGTGCCATAACACTGATATTTCTAGAATGAGAATTATGAGATGGGTCAATGAAAGTGTTTAGACAGAAAAATCTGAAAATTAATCTAGTAGAGAGTAGTATCTAGCCAGGAGTCTTCATTCTCAGGTGTTTACATTAACAAGATTTAGGCTTAATTTATGACTTGAGATGGATTACTTCTTGTGTGCCTTCTTCTCATATTGAAGAATCCTTAATCTGTGTAAGAACACCATGGAACCATGGACTCTCTGAATTTGAAAACAGGCTCTATCAATTTCTTTTGGGACCTTGAGCAAGTCACCTAACCTCTCTTTTTTCCTTATCCATAAAATGGGAATACTCATAGTACCTACATTATACATACATTTGTTTTGATGATAATATTAATTAATGTTACATAAAGAACTTAGAATAATGCCTTACAATTAATCTGTGGTACATATCATTTCTAATAGAAAAATTGTATTAAATTTTAGAGTGTAATCATCCCCTATAACTTTAGGATTTAAAAAAAATATTTATTACAAAACTATGTTATGAAAAAAGTCACAATAGTCCCACAGTAGGACTTTCTGTTTGATTACCAGAGTGTTTATTTTACATTATTGCCCTTATTCTTCCTCATTTAGCTTTCCACCTCCATTAGATGTTAAATTCCCCAGGGAAAGATATTCTTATTGTACATATGATCCCCCCACAGTACCTACAGAATAACAAAAATTACATTGAAATGGTCATTTTATAGAAAATTTGGAAAGATTTTACATTTTTTAAAAAGACTGCAAAGGGATGTCCCTAAAGTTTCATTGTTTTGTTTGTGAAAGTAAATGTTATTTTCTTTTATTTGACAAGAACAATACATTGTGTTTGTGAAAAATTTTTATTAAGCATAAATGTCCATTTCATTTATTCACTCAACACACTTATCGGGTATCTGCCCACTACTATTTTATGTGTTAGATGAAAACAAATAATAAATAAGCTAAAAAATGCACAGATGCTAGACAAGCATACTGTGGAATTCTACAGAAAAGAAATAAAGTTAGGGTAGAGAGGGTAAGTTAAGTGGGATGGGAAACTGCATTCTGTATAGGAAGTCGGGCACAACTTTTAACACATTTAAAGGAGTATAAATTCCCCAGGGCAATAGCAAACTGAGGTTTTAAAACAACTGAAGAGAAATATGATTTTCTTGGAGCACAGTGACTTAACAATCAGGAGAAACTGGGATCAGAGTTGTGGGGCAGAAACCAATTTATATGGGGGACCAACAGTTAGTGTAATGGCTATGTTGCTGGACTCCTACATAGTCGACCGCAGTTTGCCTCCTGGACCCGGTGGCTTAAAACTCACACCAGGCATGTGTGTGTGCGTGCCCAAGATCCCAAGAAGAGAATGGAGGAGAAGGGATAGCGGCATGGCCATCCCCCCCTGGGGGGATGATTTCTCGCTTTCTGTCTCTCTGTCTCTCCCTGTCTGTCTGGCGAGTGCACGCACCCTATAGCAAAAACCTCTCAAAAAAAAAATTTATATGGGACCTAGTGTGACATTGTAAGGATTTTAGACTTTATTCTCATTGAGATAGCAAGTTGTTCTGTAGAGAAATTAGGCTATTAGGTTTAAAGTTTGAAGAATCCAGGTCTACCTAAGTGGTTTTTTTTTTTCCCTCAATTTTATTTTATGATTTCTTAATTACATTTATTTGTTGTACATTTTTATGGTACACAGTATGGTTTTTCAAAGCATGCATGCAGTTTATGATAATCAAATCAAGGTTATTGATTTATAAACCATTATTTTAAGAATTATTTTATTCAACTTTATTTATTTATTTGTTTATTTTAATTTGTCTATAGAGTGCCAGAATGAGAAAGAGAGAGAGGCAAACTAAGAAAGAAAGCCGCCTGTCAGGACTTGAAACATGGTTGGCCACATCCGCAACCCTCACCACCACCATGCCACGTCCTGGCTCCATATATGTCATTTCAACAAAGAGCCCTAAATTCTCTGTCTGTTAAATGTTTATCTCCTGGGCCCCTCCTACTTATCCCCAAACCTTTCACTCACTGCTCATATAGTCTCGGAATTCTACATTTGTCTCCTTTACTATCATGTATCCAAACCTTCACTATCTGCCATAGAGTGCAGAATATTCATTGAGGAGGGATATACAGTGTTTGTCTTTCATGGTCTGAAAGACATGAAAGACTTAGCTTTATTAAATCTTCCGTATTTGATCAAGTATATCAAATGAGTCTTGCTGTTTTTAGGCTGAACAATATTCGATAGTATATGTGACACATTTCTTAACCTAGACATCAGCTGTTGGGCACTTAGGTTGCTTCTATTTCTTAGCAGTTGTGAATAATACTACATTAAAATGGCTGTGAAAATGCCTTTATGACTGAGTGTTTTCCTGCCCTTTAGGTAAATACCAAGTAATGGGTCATAGCAGCTCACCTCTAAAAAAAATTAAACAAAACAATAATCTAAGTTATAAATGGGTAAATGATATGAATAGACAACTATAAAAGGAAGACAGATGAATGGCAAAAAAGCATGTGAAAAAAAGGTGACACATCTTGAGGTATCATCTTAGTCAGAATGGCTATGGTAAAAAGTAAATAAATAAAATAAAAACAAGTGCTAGTGAAGATGTTTTGAAAGAAAACCTCCCTGAACTGTTGGTGGGAATGTAACTTAGTACAACCAGTGTGGTAAAGAATATGGAGGTTTCTCAAAAATTTAAAAATAGAACTAAATACTTTACTATAGTAAAGTATACTTTACTATCAGCAAGCATAGATACTGAAATATGCTCTTGTGATAAATATCAATAATACTTTTATGATTTGTTTTACTTTCTTCATACAGAAAAACTCACCTTTACAGAAGTGGTATCTCCTCAAGAATTCAAACAAGGAGAGGATGCAGAAGTGGTCTGCCGAGTCAGCAGTTCACCTGCACCTGCTGTCAGCTGGTTGTATCACAATGAGGAAGTCACCGCTATTTCCGACAGTTAGTATTTTGGTAACTCTCTAAATTATATGTTCTAATAACACTGAAATATTTAAAGAAAGAAAATATATAGTTGATAATTGAAATTGAATACTTTGAGCCTAAGATGATATAATGATTTTGAGAACCCTGAAATGCTGGACTAGGGGTTGGCAAAGGAGGGCCCTCAGACTAAATTCAGCCCAGGTGCTGTTTTTAAGGTGCCACCAGAACACAGCTTTGCAAAGCCATTACATTTCTCCTCTGGCTGCTTTGGGAGCAGAGTTGAAAAGTGGTGGCATAGAGGATTTGGCCTAAAATGTCCACAGTAGTTATTATCTGGAGATTTACAGAAAAAAACTTGCTGACTCTTACTCTAGTTTCAAGGAGAGTCATACATTATAAATAGTGCGAAGTGAATGAAGAACAAGCCCTTATGTATTCAGATATACAAGTTCTAATTTAAACAGGAGCCTATGGGTTCACTATATGTAAATGTAAAATCTATATGAATCTTATTTATTATTCTGGGCTGTTCTTTCAAAAACATAACATGTCCTAAATATTATGGTAAGATACATAGAGATAATGGACAGAAAAATGCATTTATTCAAATTGCCTTCATGATTTCTATTTAAACTGAGCTAAAATTTCAGAATAATATGACAGCTAAAATTGAAAACATAATTTGCTTACATTATGCTCCTTTACCATTGTGCACAGGGAGCATTTTCAATTGAGAATATTTTTCAATGCACCTGCATTGCAAAATAATTGAATCTTTTTAAGTACTTTCTATCTCAGATGATTCTGTTTTGTGTTTCCAAAAGATGAAACTTCTACAGCATAAAGGAGAGAAAGTAGAGCATCTATTTTTGAAGATGTAGAGAGATATATCATAATCATGTTCAATAGTCATTTTTTAAATTTTCAGATAATTTTTCTGAACTTGGCATATTCAATGCTTGTCAGTTGTGGGTTAAAACTCTTTGTTTCTCTTACAATAAGTAAACAAAAATAATACTTTATTTCCTCTTGTTTTATTATAGCATAATTGCTTTTATTTCTAGTAAGGTCACCTGAGTAAATTGTATGATACATTTTCAACTTTTTCCTCCTCAATAATAAAGCAGTTCTTTTATAGCAATTAAATGACAATGTTTAAACACTTTAAAAAATAATCTAATCTTAAGTTTCAAGTGTACATCTGGCTTATTGCAAACCTTTAATTATAAGGTTTTGAAATGAATTATATGTTTTAAAAAGATGCATAGAACAGAAGTCTCAAAAGAAATTATGATAGCTAATATTACTGGTTATGGGAGAATGATGCTTTTATGCTGTAGTTTACATGTTACCCCCAGCTTCTCAGGATGGAATAGTGTAAAAGCTGTATTTTATTTGGGCTCTACCCTTTTTCTAGGCCCTAAAGCTTTGAACAACTTTTCTAACTGGTCCATACCTGTATCTGTAAACAATAGATTATAACTATTTTAAACAATGATCGCGAGTTGTAAATATACATTACACACACTTAAGCATTTGTTGTGGAATGAACACAATATTTGGCTGTATGTCAGATTCTCAATAAATTGTATTTATATTTTTTTCTATTTATTTATTTGTTTTGTAATTTTGCTATAGGGTGAGTGCACTCACAGGAGACAAAAAGGAGAGGGAGAGGGAAAGGGAGAGAGCACTTCCCAGGGGGATGGCCGCACTGCACTCCCTTCTCCACTCTCCTCTTGGGATTTTGTGCACACATGTGAATGCACCCTGCATGTTTTTCAGGCCACTAGTCCAGGACTCCAGCTGTAGGGTCGGCCATGTGTGATCTAGTTGCCTTAACTATCTGCCACTGGCTGGCCCAACAGTTTTCATTTTCATTCCTTCTAATTGAGTTTTTAAATCTTGAGAATCAGTTTTATTAAAATTATATGCATTTAAGTGATATTTGGAACCAGAAAATCCAGTATAATGGAAGTTGTTAGGATTAAACATGAAGCATAAATCAAATACATGGCAGGTAAGAAAAAGAAAATTAAAATAATAAATATTTTTATTATAAAATCCAAAGTGCTCAAGTGAATGTGAGGAAAGATAAACTTTCTATCCTTGTATTACTGAAGGAACTTTCCACATAGTTTATTGTGAAATAATTGGCATGTAACAATGGATTTCTAAGAAGTAATATGCTTTATCTAATTATACCTTAAATGGTCCCTTATTAAGTGAGTGGAATAACATTAGGTTTATAACTAAGAAAGGAATATATGTGGGGATTTAGAAGAATGTGATATATTTGGTATCTTTTCGTTGCCTTAATGTAACAGAGAACTAAATCTTAGATGCTCAAAATGAAAGAATGAAGTCTTAAAAAAAAAGTGTTGGTCTTATTAAACTGCTTTTTATATTATGGTACTCAGAATGAACATTCCTACAGAAGCCTTGAAGTGGTGGGGTACACATTGAAAGGAGACCTGTGTTCTTAAAAACATTTAGAGTATAAAGGCAAAATTTTATTATAAAAATTGAATATCCTAGTTTTATTGTTACTCTGTGGAGAAATGTTCGAGGTTTATATTCACCTTTTACTAGTTTGAAAATTATCTCTTAACATTTGTATATGCTTTTGGTCAACTGATGTACTCATTCTGCATCAACAGTTACAGACAAAAACCATCATATTCAATTAAACTTTCATATAGTGTACTTTCAGTATAAAAGATTTATAAAACCGTTATTCAACATCTGTTATATACCCTCTAGTATGCCAGATGTTGATGATTAATGGTTAATAATATAAAAGAAGGTCACTGCTTTCAAAATGGTAATAGTCTAGAGGGAGAGATAAATAAATAACTCGGTAAATACAAAATATGTTAAGTCAGTGATATCACGACAGTTCAGTAATAAAGGATGACAAAGAGAGAACACTTGAATTGGTTAAAGGACAATGTCAATAATGCCTTTCAAAAGTTATCTTTAAAAGGGACCAGCAGCTAGTGTAATGGCTATGTTGCTGGACTCCCATGTAGCCAACTGTGGTTCGCGTCTTGGGCTTGGTGTCTTAAAACTCACGCGTGTGCATGCATGCCCAAGATCCTGAGAGAAGAATGGAGGAGAAGGGATTGTGGCATGGTCATCCCCCTGGGGGGTGATTTCTAGCTTTCTGTCTCTATGTCTCTCTCTGTCTGTCTTTCTTGTGAGTGCACATGTGCCCTATAGCTAAAACCTTTCAAAAAAAAAAGTTATCTTTAAATATGAGTAGAGTTTAGTAAGAAAATAAATGGTAGGGATGATTCCAGAATAGAGAACACCTGTACAGTGACCCAGAGTTGAAAGACATTATAGAGGCACTTTCTAGAAATTGGAATAAGTTCATTATTGCCAAAACTTGTGAATAAGTGCAACATGAATATATTTAAAAATGGATAAATATAACTAGAATTTTGCAAAAGACTGATAAGAAAGAAAATTGGAGCAAACAACAAGACAAATCAACATGGCATCTCTGTCTACTAGAGAGTTTGGAATTTTCCAAAGGGCATCATTTCAAGCCAGGGAATGATATGAAAAGAAATATTAATGTGTTCGAGAAAGATATTAGTATGTCATTGATAATGAATTAGATGGAAGTCAAGGCAACACTCCAGATGCTGGAAACAGTTCAGATCCTGAGAAAATAACTGTTGAAGGAGAAGTAATTTTAGATTAAGTTATCATGAAAGGAGAAGCAATAGAACATGGGGTTTGATTGTGTGTGCAGATTAAGATGGAGATGTCAAGGATGATTCATGGAATTTGCCTTGTACGAAGAGTTTCATAACTTATTAAATTTGCTGTAGACTAGTTCTATGTGAGGGCATTATAAAAATATGTGAAGACAGAACTGATAAATACCAAATGAGAAATTTCAGGTGGAGCTATTGAGCTGATTGTTAGACATGTTGAGATTGATTACTTACAACACTTTAAAAAATATATACATTCAATCACTGTATATATGAAATGAATTTTCCCAGCATTAATACAGTATATATTAATCCAGCTAACATATTAACATCAACAGATGATTTTTCATTTTTGTGTCCTTTAAATTTTTTTCTTGTTCTTTTTCTCCTTGATTCTTAAGCAGGTAGATCAGGTGGACTCTTTTTTTTTTTTCTTTTTTTGGAGTGGTTTTTGCTATACGGTGTTTGCGCTTTCCAAAATCACGGAGAGAGACAGAGAGACAGAAAGAGAGAAATCACCCCCCAGGGGCATGGCCACTCCACAATCCCTTCTCCTCTATTCTCCTCTCAGGATTGTGGGCACACACACACACACACACATATGCATGCCTGCGCGTACCCAGTGTGAGTTTAAGCCACCGAGTCCAGACTCAAACCACGTTCTACTACATGGGAGTCCAGCGACATAGCCATTACGCCAACTGCTAGTCCCAATTAGGTAGACTCTTAAGAGATTGTTATGCAGCTAAAAGGAATGGTCTAATCTAAAGAAAAACTGTAAGTCATCAAAATTAAGATGGAAATTAAAGCCATAGGATAGATGAGACAAACTATTAAATGGTTTAGAATTGGGGGAAACAAAGATATAAGCAGGCATTTTATTGTATATTAGCTGATATCTATTTTTCTTACTTTTATAATAAAAACTGTGTTTTTAAATAAAAGAAAGACAGATTAATCTGTGAAGTTGACTATTTTTAGTACCCATAGTTCTTCATCACTGATTGAAACATTGTTTTTCTTTTTTTCTTTTGTTCTATTTTTTTTTTTTTTTTTTGGAGAGGTTTTTGCTGTAGGGCGCATGCGCTTGCCAGACAGACAGAGAGAGATAGAGACACAGAGTGAGAAATCACCCCCCAGGGTGATGGCCATGCCGCCATCCTTTCTCCTCCTTTCTCCTCTCAGGATCTTGGGCACACATGCACACGTGCCTGGCGTGAGTTTCAAGCCACCGGGTCCGGGACGCGAACCGCAGTCGACTACATGGGAGTCCAGCGACATAGCCATTACACTAACTGCTGGTCCCGAAGCATTGTTTTTCTGTAAATGATTTCTGAAGACACGTATTCATTACTATTTTGTGTAATTTAAATAAAATCACTGAAGTGCCTTATACTTAAAGGACGTAATATGTTTTAGTAGGCTAGAAAATGCAAATTTACAATTATTTATGTATGATTAGATACATACCCTCTTGTTTTAAAATACTTAAAAAATTTATGTGCTTTATTTCTTTCTAAACTTCAGCCACACACTTGAGTAGAGGATCTTATAGTTGACTTTGAAACCATATGAGTTTTCAGGATTTCTGAGTTATTATGTTATGTGATATTCTTAAACTTCTTTGCAGCTTACCTTTCTTTTTCCCCATTCTTTCCTTCTTGAGAAAATTATAAGTTTGTGCTTTAATTTACCAGGGGAAAATATCTGCCTAAACATTCCTGTCTCTTCTTAAGGTAAACCAAATGAAGAAATGAATGTTCTGGGAAAGTGTTGATCTCCTGGCTATATGGAGAAAAATTATATGGCTATAGCTTTATGATGGGTGCTTTCTCTCTGAGGTAGCCTCTGAATCAAAATTTTTCTCTCCCTTTTTGTTGCTATCTTTTTACTTGCTTTCCTGTTTTGCCTGTTGACAATCTAGTGATTCCTCTATTTGTTAGTTCTAGCCTAGATTTCTCCCTTCTCATTAAGGAATTACTATGGCAAATTAACCTTGGGATTTTTTAAAGAGATTTTTGCTATAGGGTACATGTGCTTGCTGGAGAAACAAAGAGACAGAAAGCAAAATATCACCCCTTCCACACACACAGGAATGGCCACATCACAATCCCTTTCCTTCAGTCTCCTCTTGGGATGTTGAGCACCCATGCACACATGCCCAGCACGAGTTTGATTCTGCCTTGTCCAAGACTTAAACCATGGTCGACCATGTGGTAGTCCAGCGGCATAACCGTTACGCCATCTGCTGGTTCCACCTTGAAATATTAATGGCCAACCACCATTTCAATTGTGTTTCTCTCTCATGCAAAGTCCAGGTCTATACTTATTCAGTGATCCAGGCAGACGAATGCTCTCTCTATCTATTTTTTTTCCTGTGGTTTCTGTGATTTCCTTAAACTCTGTCAGGCCAGCAGATAACAACAGTAAACACTGGAACGGTCCATAATGTGAACTTTAGGCAGTGGATATACTGCAGGCTAGAGTACCTTAAAATAATGGCTCTTCTCTTTTCTCTTCTCTTCTCTTCTCTTCTCTTCTCTTCTCTTCTCTTCTCTTCTCTTCTCTTCTCTTTTTTTTCTTTTTTTCCTTCTCCTCTCTTCTCCTTCTTCTCTTCTTTTTCTTCCTATTTTCCCTTTCTACTTCTCTCCTTCTCTTCTTCTTTCTACACTTAATCGCTATATATTACTACAGCATGCAAAATGAGTTTTCTCAGTATATTGGCATTGTGTATTATTCCAGTCAAAGATATTACCATACACAAGGGAATAGCAGATGGCATAATGGTTACATCACTGGACTCCCACACAATCAGCCATTATTTGAGTCTCAAATCTGGCAGCTTAAAACTCATGCCAGGCACATGTGCTTGTGTTCCCAAATCCTAAGAAGAGAATGGAGAAGGGGTTATGGTGTGGTCATCCTCCGTGGGGGTGATTTCTCACTTTGTCTCTGACTCTCTGGCAAGTGCATGCATCTTATAGCAAAAATCTCTCTCAAAAAATAAATAAATAAATAAATAAATAAATAAATAAATGTTATAACCATACACATTATCATCAACAAATAATTTTCCATGTTTTGTTCCTTAAATATTTTGCTTTGTACTTTTGCCTCAAAGGACAAAAATTTTCCCTCAAAAGCCAAAAGGAATAGAGGCCGTGACTTTATTACTGCATCTCAAATATAGCATCCAAGAAACAGATGGAAAATGATCTGCTGAGAGGCAGAAATTTTCAGACATGAGCTGTCAGGATGGTGAGCTGAAGGCTCCACCTGCTCAGAGAATGGCCTCCCCTTCTCACAATGGGCTGGAGCCTGCCTTGAAACTGAAGGAGAAATTCAGAGACCCAACTGAGTGTCTAGACACTGGGGCTGAGGCAGATTACTTGGAGCAGTTTGGAATTTGATGGTTTAAGGAGCGAGCTTTGAGGAAATAATCCGTATACCTTAGATTTGACCTCCACCTGAAAGATAGCCTCCATAGACCAGTGCCCATAGTCTCTGGGACAAGCAGTGCACAAGATGCAGAAGGCCTTCCTCAAGAATCTGAAGAAGCCAAACTTTAGGAGCTCTAGGTGTTCCTCTGTCTGGTGCAGCCCCATGTGTCCTCAAGCCTGGCATTCCGCCCTTGTCTGCAGGGCCCATTGTGGATGTGCAGCAGTACAGCCAGCAGGACCTGGACAGGGTGGTATAAGCAGCACAGAAGGACAGCCGAGTGAGGTGCATCCAGAAAGAACCTGGAAATGGAGATCGTGGATGGGTTTGAGGAGATTGTGTCCCAGGGAAGGGATGAGGTTCAGAAACAACTCACAAAAGCCAAAAGGTTTTTAAAAGCAAAAGAGCAACTTGCTGCTGACCTGAACCCCATGGAAAAGTCCTTCTCTGACCTCCTCAGGGGGCTGGAGAAACTGAAGGTGAAAGAGGACAAGAATCACTGAAGAGGTCTGTGGACGAAATACAGAGCGCTGAGGAGAACCAGAGGTACCAGGCACTAAAGGCCCAAGGGAAAGGAAAGGTCCAGAGCAAGGCCAGGGCAGAGCCCTTAGCCTTCCAGGTGAGCCTGAGGAAGGAACATTCGCTCGCTGGAGAAGACTGTGCAGTAGAAGACTTAAAAAAAATAATAATATGAACTGATGAGGATCTGTGATGACCTCATCTCCAAGATAGAAAAGATCTGACCAGAGCCACCAGCCAGCAACCAGCCCTCACCGTCCTGTCTGTCTGTCCATCTATCTGATTCTGTCTTAGGTTTCTTGTTCTTTCTTCTCTAAATTCAATTCATTTTAAAGCTATATTACTTTTTAAAAAAGAATAAAGTTTCCCTTAAGTTGTATTTATTTTCTTTTTTTTTTTTTTAAGATATTGCCTGTACATCATGTTTCATTATGGGACCAGCTAGGAAAGCCTTCTTTATATGATAAAAAGGGTCTAGCAATGACATAACATTGCAATGACTATAAGTAGTCCAGACATGAAAGACAGCGTCAGGCTGAGGTGCCGTTTAGGCGTCTCAGATTACTCTAGTAGATTACTTTAAGCAATTATTTAGCGCATGCTCTATGTGAGATCATTTTTGTATGTATGCATGTGCACACACACACAAAACGAAATATTGAAATAAAATTAATGACGTCTAATCTACTTATTCTTGAAACGGATTATATTGCATTTAGAAGGAAAACAACCTTAAAAATTTCAAGATATGGCCATTTTCTGTACCCCTTGTTTGACTTGAATATTAATGTGTCATTTAGCTGCTTCCTTACGGTGTGCAGAATTATTAGTGTAATTATTAGATGAGGAAGGGTGTTCAAAATATTTTCAAACCTTTTTCATAAACAAGTTTGTACCTATTTGTAGTCAGAAGTCTTCATGTTTGCAGTATCTAATCTCACTGCATTGTTCTTTTCTGTATAATTTCTGCATTCAAAGTACCGAGGGGAAAATAATAGCCTAACCATTTTATGTGGATATAAAGTCTTGCATGTGTTTTAGAAAAAAGGTGTAACAAAGCAGTGAGGAGTGGAAAAATTGAAGTCATGAAATTACATTTTACTTTCAAATTTGAATTTGTTTGCTGATGAAAAGTTTGATAGTGTCAGAAAAGTGCCATATTTTAACTTTGGGCAATTTAGAGAACACTGGATTCAGCCTTCAATTACTGATATCATTCCCTCCCCTTTGCTTACTTTCCAGATCGTTTCGCTATGTTAGCAAACAATAATCTTCAGATTCTCAACATCAGTAAAAGTGATGAAGGTATATACAGGTGTGAAGGACGAGTGGAAGCTAGGGGAGAGATCGACTTCCGTGACATCATCGTTATCGTCAACGGTAAGCAGTACGTGATTGGTTCATGTCTTATGCTTTTCTTTTACCGGTGTGTTTGTTAAAAAGACAACCATGCAAACTCAACCCTCAAGACCGCTAATATTCTTTTTCTATGCTTCAAGGAAATCTTTCCACCTTTGAGATCGTATCATTTGCATGGCATTACCTCTTCAAAGGCAGGAAGTGTGACTTCATGCTGTTATCCTTATAACACTTTTCAAGATTCTGTAGTTTGTCTTTTGCCACGTTTGTAGTTGTTGAAAGAATGCCAAGAAAAGTAAGGATGTCTTATACTAGATTTTAGTTTGAAATTACATTATGCACTTGTTGCCTAAATTGATTTGACATCATTTGCATTTTAAAAAATCATGCTTTAATATATAAAGTTACCTTTTCAGGTATCAGTGGACATTAATAACTAAGGTAATGAAATCACAATGACATGTTCCCTCCAAACGTGCTTCTCCTAGCGTATTCTCTGCCTGTATTTCCTTGGCAATCTATGAGGTTAGAACATATATTAAAGTAACCCTCGATGTCTCCATTTGGTTAATCTAACCAGTTTTCTAGACATGTTTATCTTTTTTTTTTTTTTTTGAGAGGGAGGGGTTTTTTTGCTATAGGGCACATGTGCTCGCCAGACAGAGAGAGACAGAGAGACAGAAAGCGAGAAATCCCCCCCCAGGGGGGATGGCCATGCCACAATCCCTTCTCCTCCATTCTCCTCTCAGGATTTTGGGCATGCACGCACATGCGACCGGCGTGAGTTTAAGCCACTGGGTCCGGGACGCGAACCGTGGTCGACTACGTGGGAGTCCAGCGACATAGCCATTATGCTAACTGCTGGTCCCTTTATCTTATTTTTAAGCATGTTCTCAAATATATTTCTTCTGTCACTTTTCATGATTGTGCTGTTTCTTTTTTTCCCTTGACTTGTGCTAGCTTGGTTTCTCAGTATTCAGCCTCACTGCTGCACCTTCCTTTCTACCAAGTCTTCCAACCTCAACAATTCTTCATTACCCACAAAATGAAATAAAAATTTTATAGCATAGGAGGTCTTGTGTGAACAGCCCTTTCTCTGAGTTTCTGCTAGGAGTCTTCTGTACTTCAGCTGTATGGAAATCAGGCCCTCAGAGGAGATCGAATATTTCAAAGGCCTTTTTAAGAGTGCAGGTCTAGTATTTCTTATTGATGTCATAGTCAGTAGAGCATTTGACCTTCGACACAGGAGAGATATTTTAATGCATGAAAGATTTAAGTACAGAGGTGTCTAATCTGTAAAGGATCTTAAAACATTTTATGGAAAGTATGTATTATGAAAAAAGTAGGTATGGATCCCAAAACATTTTTACAGCAAAGTTAACTTGTACCTTAATTGTATTTTTTCACTTTTTGAAGCATCCCCACATATCTATATCATCTGTATCTGTATGAATGTCTTACCTTCTTCTCTCTTTATTATATAAAACAAATAAGAGTAGTACATATTAACTATTTAGTTTATTAATTATTGACTTAGCTATATAGCATGAGCTATTTCCAAAAGGATTTAAGGTAGCATATATAATGTATTTCACCATTAGCAAGTCTTTCTGCTCAGTATTCTTTTATGGAAATGGGGATTATTGCATGTGTGTGTCTGTGTGTGTGTGTGTGTGTAAAATATATTTCAAAGTATTAAGTTTATAGGAAGCAGTATATTAATATTTACTATTATTATTATTTAGTGGGAGTGCATTCGATGAATGAAGTTTGAATCTTACAGTTCATTATGGTCTGCATTTAAATTGGAATAGTTATTTCAGTATTACTATACTTATTTCAGGGTCCACATGGAGAAAAATACTGGAATGTGCTATTTTGTGTCTCTCAGATGAATCATGTAGAAGAAGCCATGTCTTGTCTGTGTCAGGGTGACTCCCAAAAGCAAATCATCTTCCTCCTACATTCCTATTTTCTGAAAGAATCAACCCTGATACTAATATGACCTCCTTTGCTTGAGCAATGGTAGTTAGTCACATTTCCCCTGTATGGTCATAAACTCTCATACCTTAGAATTAATGGAACCTCTTTTCTTCAAAGTAACAGTGCTCACAAAAATCAGCCATCGATCAATTCCCCTCCTGGACAGTGTAGTTGGACCCTGTGCAGGGGCTGCATCGACTAATGCCGCCAGATATCTGTGCTTTTCTCTCCCTTTGCCTTCATTTCAGTCAGAAAAACCATCCTACTCTTCAAGAGTCAATAAGCCCCCTGCTCTATTTACTGGCTCCTTTTAAATGCTGAGCTGGGTCAAAAGTTTTCCCTTTTTATGCACTTCTTATAAAACCTTTTGAAAATGATTAAATGAAAAGTCTGAAACTGCAACAAATAATAATAAAATAATAGCACATTTATCCACATTATTTAATCTTTCTTCAATGATGAAATTTGCTTGTTTTTCTTTGCCTTTCTCCTCAATTTATATCCCAAACTTTTTATCTCTCTCACACACTACTTTAGATTTTTGCCATAGGGCACATACGCTCACCAGAGAAAGTCAGAGAGAAGGAAAGTGAGAAATCACCCCCTAGCAAGATGATCACACCACAGTCCCTTCTCCTATATTCTCCTCTTGAAACTTTGGGCAGGCACGTACACAAGCCCATTGTGATTTTTAAGACATGGGGTCTGGGTCTTGAACCATGTTCAAATGTGGGAGTTCAACACCTTGACCACCATGCCATGCTGGCTTCTCTCTTTCTTTCTTTCTTTTTTTAAAAAAAAAAAAATTATTTATTATAGTGACTATGTACTTGCCTGAGAGAGAAAAAGAGAAGGTGAGAAATCACCCTTCCATGGAAGATGGCCATGCTGCAATCCTTTCTCCTCCATTCTCTCCTCAGGGTCTTAGGCACACACGCATATGTGCTTGGCATGATTTTCAAGTCCACCAGGGCTGGGACATCAACTGCGGTCAGCTGGTGCCTTAACCATGGGAGGCTAGTACCTTAACCACTGCTCCGCCTGCTGGCTCTTTTCTCTTTTTAAGATTATTTATTTGCTTTTTCCATGAGTGAGAGAGAGAAAAAAGGAATGACATGGAGAAAGGACAGGTTTGAAACCTGGGATCTCCTCCCAGCTTTAGCTATCCTAGACCATGAGCAAGTACATGTCTGACATACTCAAAGAGGTCACCAAATGTGAGCACAGAACCTTCCCATGTAGACCAATCTGACAGAGCATTGTATTTCAATATGCACCACCATCTAAATCCAAAACCTTCTTTCCGAATTGCTATTATTATTTGTCCTTACAAATTCGGTCTTTATCCTGGATCTCTTTTGTTCCCTTCAAGTAGACTCAGGTCTCCACTAAATGATTCAGTCAATACTGTTTTCACATTTACTGCTTCTTTGTCAAGTCTTGGGTCTATAAGAAGCTGTGCTTTGTATCCCATTGTTTTCTCTTTGTGAATTTTCCTATGATATTTGCATCTTACAATTCATATGCTCTGGTTTCAGCAATTAGTCAAATACTATACTTGCTTGGTTTCTCTGTAGTACCAACAATCTTGAATACTAAGGACCTATGATTTTCTTTCTTTTTTAACTCCTATCATTTTTTGCAGTATACCTCAGTACTTACATATTGCTTTTCAAAAATATTTATCCCCCTTCTTTTAAGAAGGTTACACATCATTACCCATTGCCATGGAAAGTATGATGCTTTAAATGGAAAGATTATGCATCCCTACCCAATTGATCACATGGCTTCCTCTGGCCAATGACATTTATGCATGCCTGATATACAAGGCTGAAATCCAGCTTTAAGAAACAGCGTAGGGATCAGCAGTTGGAGTAATGGCTATGTTGTTGGACTCCCATGTAGTCGACCATGGTTCGAGTCCCAGACCCGGTGACTTAAACTCACACTGGGTGCGTGTGCATGCATGCCCAAGATCCCGAGAGGAGAATGGAGGAGAAGGGATTGCAGCATGGCCCTGCTACTGATTTCTTGCTTTCTGTCTCTCTCTATCTTTTTGGCGAGTACACGCACCCTATAGCAAAAAAAACCCCTCCAAAACAAAAACAAAACCGAGAAGGAACATCACATATTATCTACTTCTCTTTCTCTTTCCTTTCGTTATGCAACTAGCATGATCTCCGTTTATTCTGGTCACCATGTTGAAGACATAAGAAACAGTCACAGCTGGGAACCAGCAGTTAGCGTAATGGCTATGTCGCTGGACTCCCACGTAGTCAACCGCGGTTCGTGTCCCAGACCCGGTGGCTTAAAACTCACGCCAGGCGCACACGCGCCCTAGAGCAAAAAAAACCCTCCAAAACAAAAACAAAACCGAAAAGGAACATTACATATTATCTACTTCTCTTTCCTTTCGTTATGCAACTAGCATGATCTCCGTTTATTCTGGTCACCATATTGAAGACATAAGAAACAGTCACAGCTTACCTGCTCTAAATAAAAAAAATAAAAAAAAACATGAATACAGAATAAAGCATTTTTTATGCATTAGAATTTTAGATATTATTTGTTACCACAGAAAAGCAGACAGATTCAATGCCAGTGCCTTTTTTCTTACTTAAGCAACTGACCTGGGGAACTTCTGAAATTACTTCTGTGAATCTTTCTCAGACATCATCTATTCCCAGTTTCCCTTAATGGTGATCCTTTATCAAAATTTTTATCACCTTATAATAATATTGAAAGCATAACTGAAGATATTACTATATTTTCAGAATTATTTTATATTGCATCAATATATTCACTCAGCAGGTGTGACTGAAGTGCTGGCTATGTTTATCACTATGACACACTCAGAAAACAGATCTAGCACAGCATCATTTCCCTCAAGGCATTTATAGTTTTATCTCAACAACTTAAAGTAATCAACTTTATTAAAGTCCTCATTCTTAATAGAAGCTAGATAAATAAACACATGATAAGTACCGTCTTTGTAGATATTTGCAGATTATTTTATAATAAGGAAGGGACCCCTAATA